CCTCAAGTTACACATTTACAACGGCCAGGCAGCAATTCATTCTAAAGCTAAAGATTTTAAATTTAAAATTAGTTGGCTGCTGTACCTTCATAAAGTGAGGGAAGATGGCCAGGCCTCTTAAGAGCAAGAGAAGGAACACTCAGACACCACCCATGCTGCAGTGAGCACAGTCAGTTTATTTTACTAATCCAGTGGTGGACAACCTGCAGCCTGAGAGCCACACATGGCCCATTGGGGTTCTACGTATGGTCCACGACACACTTGTGCGGCCCCCTCCTTAGCCTGCGCTAATGCTGATATCATCAGACACAGCAATAAGAACAGCTATTTAGTTGCAATTATTTAGGTCAGTGTTTCTCAACCAGTAGTACGAGTACCCTTGGGGGTACTTGAGAGAAGTTGGGGGGGGGGGGTACATCAACTGAAATTTGGAGAAAACTGAATTTTTGTTTTAAGTTTTACAGCACTGTATTATTTTTGTACGTTTTACACCCCAAAATTTCATCGCCCGCCTGGGTATGATTAAGTTATTTAAACAAATGTATTGCAATGGCAGAAAAAAAATGTATGTGTCTGAAAACTGTAGGTACTGCTACTTATAATTTTTTTTGAAAAAGGGGTACTTTATTAAAAAAAGGTCGAGAAACACTGGCTTAGGTTAACACTAAACAATATTCTCTGCTAGAACAAAGACACTAAAATATTTGCTACAATTATTTCCTAAGCAACTGCAGCGTTATCACGGATGTGTAGGCACCTAACCAGAGACAGTCCGCCCTGGAGAGCTTACAGTCTAAGAATAAAGTTGCCATAGCAGGTCTCCTACTTACAGACTGTTACATTAAGAACTAGAAGATTTACCCAGCTTTGCTCAGACCCTTAACCAATTCATTTTTGTTATACGCTTTCAAACATATAGTAGATGTGTTGCATTTTTTGCCAGTAGATGGCTCTCTACTCCACCAAACAAAGTCCCCGTTGCTCAGGTCCTTAATCAATGTATGTTTTTCTTCATTTAAATCATTGCTCTGGGGTGAGGCTGGGGAGGAGGGGGTCAGGATGTAGGCTGCCCTGGGGAGAGGGGAAAAACCCAACCTTCTCTCACCCCAGCAGGTTGGGGCCAAGTGAGAAGCACCTCTCCATGGCCACTGCAGCCCCAGCAGGCACAGCCGGCAGAGGGGTGCATGTCCCCCGACTGGGGCAGGACCAAATTCATCTGCCCCCTGCATTCCCCAGCCAGAGTGAGGAATGCAGCAAACGGGGCACTTTCCCCTTGCTTCCTGATGAAGGGGAACAGCCAGCAATGTCCCCCTACAAATGGAGGCAGAGGGAGCTTCAGCCTGGAGGGTGGGAGATTTGGGGTTGGGGCAGTCCCAGGCAGGAGGGCATGCTCCCAGCCAGCCCTTTCACCTGCCTGGTGATTGTGTCTCTTTTCTGGATGGTTTTATGAGATGTAATCCCATTCCAGGCACTTCCCATTGTCCTGGCACAACCAAACCCTGACCTTGCTTTAAGTTATGAGAAGAGGAAGCTGCCTGCCGAATTTGGTGGTCCTAGCTCGTACTGTTTAGGAGGAGTTCTTGAACAGAGACAAGCACACAGACAGACACACTCAAATATATGGCAGATTAAAAATATCAAAAGAGTCAGATTTTGCTACTCTTCTTCCCATTAAGGTCGTCTTTAAGAAGGTATAGTTCTGAAATGGGGGGAGGGGGAGAGGTGGTTATATGGCTCTCTTTAAGGAGGGGAGCAAAAATATGCTTCTACCAATCCTGCCCAAGAGGTCTCCTTGCAAACAAAACATTTTACACTGGAGTTGAAATGACCCAGAGCAATTAAGTGAAATTTATGGTTTTTTACAGGGAAAGGGAGAGCGTGAGAGCCAATCAATTTAAAAAAGATAGTTCCATACCTCAGGCCTCCCAGACAACTACTACAACTTTTATGATTTTAAAAACCTGCTTTTTCCTTCCGCTTGTTGCTACAAGAATAACTCACATCACGGGAGATATTTAAGAGCAGGTTAGACAGACACCTGTCAGGAATGGTCTAGATCAGGGGTTCCCAAACTTTTCGGCATCACGCCCCCTTTTTGATTTTTGAGAAACCCTCCCCCTCGCCCCCCCACCAGCAGCAAAACTTGTTGAGAAAAAAAAAGGAACTTACCGAGGCCAAAAAACAAAAATAGCAGCAAAACTTAGGGGGGAGGATTGACGGGGGAGGGCTGGGCGCCTTGTGCCCCCCCTGAAATTTCTTCACGCCCCCCCAGGGAACGCATAGGAATGCATGTTTTAAAGCATTGTTTGTAGTATAGTGGTGCGAGGTAATATACCTCATAGAGTCCTAGGGCTGGAAGAGACCTCAGGAGTCATCGAGTCCAGCCCCCTGCCCAGAGCAGGACCAACCCAACTCAATCATCCCAGCCAGGGCTTTCTCATGCCAGGACTTCAAAACTTCTAGGATTCACAATCACAGTAAGAAGACTGACTCTACACAGGATCAGTGCAAAGTACAATGGAGCTAGAATGCATAATTTACAGCTTACACAGATACACCTGTGCTAGCTCTGACCAAGCTAGCATAGATGTATAGCTGTAGTAGCATTAGGGACACCCAAGTCCCACTACCCAAGTACATAACCAGGATCCCTCATGGGTTGTACTTGGGATGGGACTAGTCCATCCTGCTGCTCATGTTGCCACATCGACATGGTTATGTTTAGCATGTCAGCTAAGACACTTTTCACTTGACAAACACGCCCCAAAAGAGATCAACATCTTCCATTTGGGAATCCCAGGCGTCCGCTGGCTCAACCAATCTATGCAGCACCTAGGGGCTGCGAGCAGGTTCTGTAAATGAGCCCCAGGACTTCTACGCAGCACAGTCATACCAATAAAGAAATGAATAAGCAAGATGTTCCCAGAGAAACACATGGACCCTTTTCACTTGACAAACACGCCCCAAAAGAGATCAACATCTTCCATTTGGGAATCCCAGGCGTCCGCTGGCTCAACCAATCTATGCAGCACCTAGGGGCTGCGAGCAGGTTCTGTAAATGAGCCCCAGGACTTCTACGCAGCACAGTCATACCAATAAAGAAATGAATAAGCAAGATGTTCCCAGAGAAACACATGGACCGTGCGAAAGGGTGCAGGGCCCTGGAAAGGAGGCCTTCGGGGATCCATGGCGAGGCTGCCGGAGAGAAAACACTCGTGCTGTGCAGGCATGTACAAGTGGGCAGGGGGGGGTCACCCACAGGCCGGGGACCTGGGGGAAACCCCTGCTTGACATCCAGGGGGGCAGCTCAGGGATGACTCTCCCCAGGGCCAGGCTCCATGTACGGCATGCACAGCGCCCATCGCGGTATCGCCAGTGCCAGCCCTGAGCAGGGGCCCTCGCTGCTAGAACCCCTGGGGGAAGAGACCCTCTCCCTGCCCACCCCTACCCAGGGAGGGACCCCCTGCTAGAATCCCCATGGGAGGTACC